AAAAAAACCTATGGAAGTCAATGGGGCCCATCAACTGTTTGGTTAACAACATTCTTCATTTTTGGCTGAAATATCCCTTTAACAGATTTTTACCGTTAAATCTGTACAGTCTTTTACCATTAAAATTACAATAATTGTTTAACAGTGTATCCCATCGAAAATATTACTCTCTAAAGCAGTGTAGGGTTTACCACATGATTTCTGACACCACTAAGACATGTTGTATATCAAGATCTTGGGGTCCACACCACCCCTCTTTAATCTCCAGGGATGAACACATCTCACAGAACAGGTGTAGCTTGGGTAGTTACACACCCAACAGGCATTTTGAATGAAAAATGATCCTCTCAAATGTGGCCTAAAAATAAACAGAAGCCTAAAGCTTTTTGTTCGTCTCAAACTGCAGGTCTGTTTCACACCATGACATCCAACATTCACAAACAGCTGACAGGATGAGCTTCAGCTAGCAACTGGCTAATGTTTGGACAAAGTGGTGGTGGATATATACTGTATATATGCATACAGTATATCAAATTCTTCATGGTGCTTCATGGTGCAATTTTATGGTGCTTTGTATGAGAGTATTATATTCTATAACTGTGCCCTGGTATATCTGAAAATATGATTCCATTTTAAGTGATGGCAAGTTGTGGTGATCAACTATTACTCTGTTTTCATCAGACAGCTCATTAAATTAAAGCATGGACAAATAAATCTCACCTATAACTATTACTACTGGTGTATTACTAATGTGTGAACTGCACTAGTCAAAATGTCACCCCAAAATGAATAACAGTTAAGCACATTTCCCCCAATTCACATAAAAAATATATCATTCTCATTACCATAATGCAAAAAGAAAACCTCAAAACTTATAACTGTAATGCAAAAAAATATTTTCATTCTCATCATTGTAATGCCAAAAAGCTCATTCTTATTAACATAAAAAACATATTTTCATTACCATAATGAAATATTATTTAAGAGCCTACCAAAAATGTTATCTGTATTGGAAAAAACAGGCTTATATAGCCTACATACACTGTAAAAAAAATCCTGTTGTTTTTACGGAAAAAAACTGGCAGCTGTGGTTACCAGAACTTTACCGTCAAAAATACGGTATCAACGTTTTTGGTTTTACAGACTTAACGTAAAATTTACGGTAATAAACCGTAATTTGTTATCTGATATAATGATAATTTACCAACCTATTGAAGTATTAATATCTGTTTTGTACCATTGTAATACACTGACAACCAACTACCATCACAGCAGAGATGAGAGTCACATGATCAATCAAAGCTCATCAAAAGCAGTCGTCCATAAGAATGTTAATACTAATTTACTGAAGCTGCACAGTGTCATTCACACAAACACTAAACACCATCATGGTAACACACATGAAATTTTAAAAATGCAATAAACATTAATTTAACAACATTAAATGCAACATAAAACCCTAATGTACATAATTGATTAGAAAATAACTAAGAAAGCTAAGAAGAAACATAGTTATTTCAACAAAAATAAATCAAATGTGAAGTGTCACGCAGGGAATTGTGGGAATGTCAATTTACGTTTTTTTACTGTAAATTATACAATGAGTTGTTCTTTTCACTTTCAAAAACTGTAAATTTAACGGTATTTTACAGTAAAATGACATTAAATGTACCGTTAGATCTATCACAGTTATTTACTGTATATAGTACGGAAACTTTCTGTTAACCAATTAACAGTTTTGCACTGTAGCATTTTTACAGTCTTTTACCGTTAAAATCACGATCATTTTTTACAGTGTAGGCTAATGGTAGGCTATTACTTGTTCAACTTTTTTTTTTTTTAAGTCCAGGTAGAGAATCATCATTGAAAATAATAGGAATTACAAAGTCGTAGTAAAACGATCCTGAGCAACATGAATTTGCTTAACAAATTTACTGGGCTTCGTTTAGTCCTCTCTGCTGCTGTCTATTTAGGGCGCTTCTATTTATTGCAGTGAGACTCGCAGTGGAATGCGCACGGACTCTATCGTGTTTCGAGGAGACTCTTCGAGAGTGGGACAACTCTTCATCATATAAAATACTGATTGAGACGTAGAGACAAGGATCAAATATTGAATACGGACGAACAGGACTGTTCTGCATTCTATTGCAAAAACAATGTCAGAGTTACAATGAACCCTGAGACAAATTACATAGCCTAACACCTGTTGAAAACAATAACTAGCCTATGAATTGAGAATGAATTGTTTCATATTAATGCTGTTAATTAATTATTAGCCCATTCCATAGCTATTGATCTAAGTTCTGTAAATACCTAAAAATAAAACAAATCGTCATAATAAAGCTCTAGTGCAATATTCTGCTGTTATCTCTAAACAACAATTCCACTTACCTGGTTCATATTTGAGGTAGAGTATTGACACGATATAATAAGCGAGATCAAAAACTGGAAACATCGCCATTTTCGAGAAATACTGGGCAATTTCGCCCAGATTAAGGACATCTAGCACATCCATGATGTTCGACCCTACCGCATGAACAGATCTTCAAGAGACTCGCCGTGTGCACGAGTGAAAGGGTTCACTCACATGCAGATGCCTATTAATACACAGCAAGCTCAGGCGCACTATTGAGGTGAAATCAACACACACGGACACTGCTCGCGCGGAGGAGGTACTGCCACTTACTGGATGACCGCGACATGCGCGCGCCGAATCGATTATCAAGCCATTTCGAAAGAAAAAATAAAATAAAAAAATAATAATAAAATAAAATAAAAGTCATTGTTTCATATTTTCATGGTCATGACCCTGCTGGAAAAAAATCAAACCAGCCATAGACTATTTTAGTATATTATTGTAGGTACTGAAGTACTTTTTGTTGTACATTTTGTAGCCTATAGTGTAGGCCTACTTTTTTATTATTATTATTATTAAACGCTTGAAGAAAAGAAAATGGGGGGAAAAACATTAACAACAATTTTCATCATTGTCATAACATAATACAACAATACTCCAGAGAGTCCTTCAGTCTCTCAGATAAAGTCCACTGTTCTTATAGCTTTTACGTTTGTAACTCAATAGATTCAAAATACATTTTCATTTCAGGTTAAATCTTAAAAAAAGAGGATTGCATTTAGAAAAATTACATTTGTGAATGTGATTTAGATAACAGAAAATAAGGTTTATAAGATAAATTTCACTTTCAACCAAAAATTACATTTCCAAATTCAAAGTTAGGATTTGTATAACATTTGATAAAATCACAGATGTCACACCAAAAGGTCAGTTGAGAGAGCGGTTCCAAAAATAAATGTAAAGTAGTTTCAGGTTTCTCTTAACAAAAGAACAGATCATGCTTAAGTCTTCTGAGAGAGCACTTGTAAAACCTGAATTAACTTAATTAACTTTGGTAATTTCTCTCATTTTGTTAGTTATCAGGTATTTGTGAGGTAATGTCCACACTTTTTTCCAGGGAATGTCACTTACAAAACCATTAAGAAATTACATATGGGATGAAACAGACTCCTCCTGAAACAAGACTCGAATATTCTACTTTTTTTTTTTGGATGAAGAAAGGCACTGTTTAATGTCTTACACAAATCCACTGAGTGACAAAAAATCCTTTAAAAAGCACAAGAACTCCTTGTGGAACAGCAGGAATTCCATGCTTTACTAAAAATTCAGAATAGTGGAACCATTTTGATTGAAAAGTTGAGAAATTTTTAAACAACGATCAAAGAAAAGAGATTTATGTTTATAGTAGGTCCTTATTATTCTGAATTATATAAGAGTGAGGTGTAAAATTGTGTTTAAAGATGAGGGACCAAGCTAATAACATTTGCCTAAAAAGGGAACATTTGATACAGGGATTTTCATTGTTGTAATTACAGGTTAATAAGAATTTTAAACCCCCTAGTTTGTAAAAAATAATATTAGGGATCAGATTCCAGATAGATGTGGGCTTATTAATAAAGTTCTTTATCCAGTTTATTTTAAAGGTGTTATTTAAAGTGGTAAAATCAAGAAAGTTTAACCCCCCCTTCTCAGTGTTGTCAGATTTTGCCGCTTGTTGAGACTGACGTCACGCGTCACCGCTTCCCAAACGCTCTGCCAGATGCCCCAATAAAACTACAAATGGTGCTAATATACACTCACGATGTGATGTAATACTACCGACAAATTATAATCCTATATTGTCATGCTATTCTTTGAATATGCTTTCTTTTGCATTATAGCCTTTAGTTTGGCGTTTCAATATGGTGAATGGATTTTTGGTGATGTAATGGTGAACATTGAAATATCAATATAGAATGGAAAACATAGGAAATTCATGTGTGTGTGTGTGTGTGTGTGTGTGTTTTTTTCTGACGGCAATAGCTTGTTTTTTGTACCATGGTACAAAATCTACTACATTTACTACATTATTTACATGACAAAAGCTGATTTGCTCAGCTGATTCTGCAGCCAAAGAGCTTGCTTGATCAACATTTAAATAGTCTGGTTGAGTGGCAGCTGTAAACTCCTGCAGTGCGCTGTTAGAGCTCCTCTGAAACCCTCCACCTCCCCCAGCTCCACCTGTGTATAGATCTGCTTCGGGATTTAGCCTATGTGCCTGTTGCCAGGTCGATTTTTTTCCACAGTTTGATTTCCACCAACCACCACCGAGATCACCACCAATAACATTGTCATATCCATTAACATGCTAAAATTATTCAGGAGTTGCCATGATTTAAATGCTGATTTATTAACCATAAAACAAATATATTAGTACAATTAAAATTGACTGTAAAAGTAAATAAATAGGCTAATAGATGTTATTGTTACTATTATTTTTGTTTTTGGTGTTTGTAACAGGGTTCCTGTAACTACCTCTACCCATCAAGGAGGTTCATCATGGCCAGGGGCTGAGGTGAGGAGGATGCATGCAGCTTTTGCTTATTGGAATGCTCAGGAATAGAATTGTCGTGTTCTATTTCAGCCGACAGGTGGAGATGATGATCTACCGACTTATACTCTACTTATAGAAAGATCGAAGAAGAAGAGGACGAACCGAGGCGGATATAATCGGCCAAAATGATCGGGGATCTTTTAATTGTGGGGTAAATTTCACTGGTTTTAATAATGCAGGAAACGTTTTTTATTAAATAGAAAGTTATTTGTGATGTTCATATATGTCTAGTATATGAATGTCACTGTGTAACAGCTGTTTGTTTTCCTGTCCACGTCACACATCTTCTTACGTTTTCAGCACTCTGCTCATGAACGCTGGCGCTGTGCTCAACTTTAAACTGTAAGTAATAAACACAAAAGTTATCTGACAGTTTTAGTTTCGAGGATTGCTTGGTAATTGTTTGGTTCGGTGTCTTTGCGCAGAAAGAAGAGGGAAACACAGTCTCAAGGCTTTGGCGATGAATCTGGATCATCCAGTACTGGTAACTGCAAATATTGAACGTTGTAACGAAGTAATAGTTAATTTAATGCTGTAATATTAATTCACTGATATTAAAATGCTTCCTTTTTTGTCATCATGCAGTGTCAACTATAGTTTTTTTAATTGATTTCCCTTAGTATAAACATCTATCTGTCTATCTATGAAAAATGTCCATCACGTTCAACAAAAGTGTTGAGTGTTCCATGTTGTAAAAAGTATATAATGACTAGAATATTATGTATAAATCAAATATTAGATAAATGCTGCATTTTTGCCTCCATAATTTTTATTTTTCAAGTAGCCCTGGATCATGTTTGACTCTTATGTATTATTTGTATTTAGGTGACAACATCAGAGAGTTTTTGCTGAGTCTGCGGTACTTTCGCATATTCATAGCCCTTTGGAACATTTTCATCATGTTTTGCATGATCGTGTAAGTATCGGCATCCTACTTTCATGCTGTTAAAAAAAAAATCAGGTTTATGCAATATTAAAAGCTGTTTTGTTGAGACTATGTAATAGTGTTCTTTGTCATTTTTTTTTCAGGTTATTTGGATCATAATACATGGCTGTACAGTGAGGATAACAAGGACACAAAATATATAATTATTGGGCGGATCTCATGTAATGGTTATTTTGTAATAGTGCAGAACATCTTTAAGTCTTATACAGTCTCACCAGGCATCTGTATATTTTGTACAAAAGTGTGTATGATTAATATTGCTTTTACTTTTTGTTAATCAAATGAGGACAGGGCACATGGTAATTAGTGTTTATTAAAATAAAAAGTACAGTTTAAAACAGCAGCGCACTACAGAGAAGAGTTAGAACAGCCTTCTCACAGTACTCTACCCTAGAGTTAAGTTTAAATTAATGTGCAGTCTAGTAATGTAAAATCTCTGTATGGGAGATGAAAGCTTTCTGATCATGAATTGAAACAATAAATGACACCTCTTAAAAGCTACTGCTTGATTAATATGAATAAACACTTTAAAAACTGTGTGCAGTAGAAAATTCAATTCTGCTCTAAAAATGTCAGTGTATGAAAATGTCACTGCATTTAATCATGTATTATGATTAAATGCAGAGGCACCTTGCTTTCAGGTTAGGAATAAATATTGACCTTGAGTATCATACACCACGTTGACTGACCCACACTAAAAGATTTTTAAAATGGGAGACCATATATAATAGAATTTTTTTTTTACAAATTTAGGTTTTGTTCCTATAGTGTGAAGTGGCATGATGTGACAAAGCCAGCACAACACACACGATTCCATTCACAAACAACCAGATTCCAGGCTGAACACAGGAAATCTCACGGTCAAACGTTATCTTGTAGTGTGAGTGCTGTTAGTTTGCAGAAGCATCAGTCCTTAGGATCTTACTGAACTCTTTAAATTCCTACCAGTTTTATACACTTTTAGCCTACATACCATTTCAAGGTCAAAGAATGTAATTGCATGTTAATAATGATTTGGATCAATTAGAAAATATATTCATTGTAATGGGCCATGAAACTTTCACATGTGGGTGGTATACAGAGTTTGTACAAATACTGTAAAAAGAAATTACAGAACTTTCAAAGATTTTCAGTATTTTTTTTTTTCCAGGACTACAATCAGATACATTTAAACAATATCTATAGTATATAAGGATTGTAAAACTCAAATTACAGAATGCATCCAAAAATACAACACATTTAATAATATATTAAATACAAAGTTTATTATGGCTATCGTTCAATAAATAATATTTTAATGTTGGGTTTTTGTACATCTTATCGAGAAAAGGTCTGGGGGATTATCAGACAGGCTGCAGTGTTAATTTTGCATGAAAAGATTGTATTAGTTTTTTTCAAAACTGACATTTCATAGCATTTAAATTAGTCAAGCACTTTAAGTACACTTTAAGACTTCAATTTCAAAAAGTCAACTTCAAGAACCTTGTACAAACTCTGTGCCATAGGTCACAAAACATTAAATTCACTCAACTGACAGTTATAACATGGCACATTCATAAGAGCATGAGAGAAAGTATTCCAAAAACAAGCAGCAAAGTTTTGATGGTTCAGGTTTATTGGGAAAAAAATTAGGAAGTACAAAATTGTTTCTTTCTCCCTCATCACTGGTAAACGTGAGCTGCTTGGCAGAGAGAGCCATTATACACACTTCACCCGCTTCTCCGTGTAGGTTTGGCACTGGAGGGCCATCGGGGTACACATCTCTCAAAGCCCTAGAAGTGTACAAGAAACCATAAGACTCTAAAATTGAAGCGGTTTCTTTTCCATTCTTTATATACACAAATACTAGGAAAACACACCTCAACTGCCTCACATGTTGCCATCCATCAAAGGTCACTCATGTAAAGGTCCTCTTGAAATTACCTAATTCGATCGTTTGAAGGGACACAAATAAAAGAATAAAGAACAAGAAATGCACCTCAAACTTTGTATGCCAACAAGTCTGGTGGCGCTTCAGATAAATTGGCTTAAAAGGTTAGAGCAAGTGTCAACACTATCGATCTGCTGGGGAAAAAAGATCAGTCATCATGTGCACCAGGTAAATGGCAAACACAGAGTCCTGAGAACATGTTCAGCATTACGTTACCTGTTTGAGAGCGTGTAGGACTTATGAAATGAAGCCAGATCAACAGGTTATCCATTTGGTCCAAGCATGATCTGTTGGGAAGGGAGTGGTAAAGGTGAATTGCCTTAATAAACCTTAAATTTATTGTTCTTGCAACGTTACGGTCTGGTTGCTCAGTTCACTTGGCTTATTTTTTTTTTTTTTTTAATGAAGTCAACAGAGTCGATCTGCTGGGGAAAAAAGATCAGTCATCATGTGCACCAGGTAAATGACAAACACACTCTCCCAACAACATGTTCAGCCTTATGTTACCTGATTGAGAGCATGTAGGACTTATGAAACGAAGCCAGATGAACAGGTTATACATTTGGTCCAAGCATGATCTGTGGGAAAGGGAGTAGTAAAGGTGAATTGCCTTAATACACCTTAAATTTATTGTTCTTGCAACTGTCTGGTTGCTCAGTTCACTTGGCTTATTTTTTTTTTTTAATAAAGTCAACAAAGTCGATCTGCTGGGGAAAAAAGATCAGTCATCATGTGCACCAGGTAAATGGCAAACAGACATAGTGTCCCAAGAACAAGTTCAGCCTTACCTGTTTGAGAGTGTGTAGAACTCATGAAACAAAGCCTGGGGAACGGGAGGTTATCCATTAGGTTTTAGCATGGTCTGTGGGAAAGGGAGTAGTAAAGGTCAGTTACCTTAACAAAAACTTGAAACTCGTTGTTACAGCAGTCTGGTTGCTCAGTTAATTTGGCTTATTTCTTATTTTTTAAGTCAACAGAGTCGATCTGCTGGGGAAAAAAGATTAGTCATCATAGCTACCAGAGGTTTTAAAGAAGAGTCTAGGGTGAATCTGAACTCACCAAGATCTGAGTATGCGCTAGAACAAAGCTCCATTTCCCAACAGCCCACATACTGTAAAACAAACAAAATGAAGCGAGTCAAATATTGAAAAAAAAAAAAGAATTCGGCAATTACACACAATCTGCTACAAAGTAACTAAAATAACAGCCGGTATTGCAGCTACGATGAAACATCACATTAATAGCAGCACGTGTTCGAGCAATGTGGTCAGAGCCTAAACTATACAAAAACCCTTCAATACAGTTTTTTTTTATCCATGCGATATAAGCACAACGCGTATTTTTCAATAACTTTATACAAATTAGCATTTTTTAAACGCTTCTCGTAGATAAATAGAAGTAAACTGCTTACCCTGCAGAAAGAAGAAGGAACTGGGAAGAACGAGCAGGCGACCACGCCTTATATAGTCAGTGGTTGTGCGCATGCGCACTTGTGCAGCGATAGATTGTTGCGATTACAAAGATAAAAAAAAATAAAAAAACGATAAATCCAAAGGCTATATTTTTATATAATTTTAACCATTCAGGATGTAATGTTACTCGCAAAAAAACAAACAAACAACAACAACAAAAAAACACACAGCTTGGGTCCTTCTTTATATGTTATTGTGTTATTATTTATTTAGAATAAATGTATGTACATACATGTAGATGTACATGCCTGAAGATTATCACTAGATTGACCATGATCATGAATTGCAATATGCAATAATAGGCTACTCTTGTTTTAAGAGTTTTTAAAAAATCCCTTTTTAATTTTGGTTGAAAATAATTTCTATAAAAATCACAAGTGTCACTGTACCTAAGAACAAAATGAATTTTCAATTTCCCCCCCATTGCAACATAACGTAAAACGATTTTGAACTACCAGGAATATTTCGAAACATACTTTAGATAAAAACAAAAAATGGCTTTAAAATTGCTAGTTGGTGATTCATCTCCTTGTTTTACCATATTCTCTCCGGAAGGTGACAGTATAGGCTAAATTGGAAATTTGCTTTCCTTTTAAAAGTGCCCATCTTATGAGGTTACTAGAGGTTACTAAAATCAGACTCTGTACAATACATATTCCTTTACATTGTAGAATGTCAGCTTAAAAAAAAATTGCTAAACATAACCACACAATTTCCGCCCTACAAAAAAAGTGACATTCACCCAAAAATTATTTTGAACTTATGTTCACGCCCTTATTATTATTATTTGTTAAATAATATTAACCTTTGTATTGTTATTTTTATTTATTATTATATTCTTCTTCTTCTTGTTATTGCTATTATTATTATTATTAGCCTATTTCGTCATGTTATCCATGGTAGCCTATCTGGGGTGGGCATATTGCGGTCACACTTTGAGACGCACAAAATTGCACGCTCACTGTAGGCAATTAGCGCCTATTTGTGTGATTACATTAGCACATATCTTGTGTTTTGTAAGCCGAGTACATACATAGAGCGGCCCCTAGCTCTTTGTTTTATCACAAAGAAACTAAAGTCGTGAATTACCAGTCGTAGGATTATCTCCCATCATCAACTGAGATTAAAAGACCCCTTCCCCCATGTGTCTCTGGTGCAAAACATCCCTTCAAAACGTGTGTGCTTTTAGTCTTGCTAAAAATGATCAATCATGTAGGCTAAGGAATATATTATTTTTTTTAAATTGTAATTCAAACGTGATATATTTTTCTTTCCAATACGACTGCACTTGATATAGCCTATAAAGCATGTGTGTTTATCCAAGTAACTTGCAATTTAAAGCAGAAGTGATTAATCAAAAAATGTTTTAAATGGTTTGAATAGTGGCTTTTTGCAGTTGCAACATGGTCTTGTTTGAGAGATCCCACATGTCAATTGCTTTGTTTGAGTATGCTTCTTTGTTCCCATTTTTGGGTTATTAGCCTAATGTTGACTAATTTCTGGCTTGTTTAGGAATCAAGATCATAAACTCCCAAGGGCTAATTGGTAGAATCGGAGGAAAACCACTGACCAAAATGAAAAGATAACCCAAATAACAAGAACATGCATGTTTTGGCTATAGCTATATGATTTCTTCAATTCCTTTATTTGAACTTTTATGCACTAAAACCATATCACAAAAACTCAAGGTGTATCATATTTTAAATCATCAACATGATAAAAACTTTGCTGAAAAGCCTGTTTTATAGCCTACAATTTATCCTGCCTTCTGTCATCTGATGATACTTTTTTAGCAAAAGGCTTTTAGTTGTAAAGACATCAGGTCATGATACACGTGTCTCTTTTCTGTGAAATCTTTACTGTTTTTTACTTAGGTTTACTTGATCCATAGCTATAGCTACATATATATTTTTAGAAAAGTCATGGTAAATTGATCAGCAATTTCACCTCGTCCTGGCCATGTAAATACCAAATTGTCTATTTTTGCTCAGTTTGTGCCTCTGGCTAAAAGTGTTTTTCCTACTTATGGATGTACTAATGAATGAGTATAGGCTCCATATTCTCCTATATTATGCTATATGAGTCATAAAAGCCTCAACAAACAACACATATGCAAAGGTCTAAAGATTCAATTAAAAAAACAAAAAGTCAGATTTTCTGACATATGTAAGGATTTACAGTGTTAAATCATGTTGAATGAAGTCGATGTCTTGTTATTCTCATGACGAATCCGAATGAGCAATGTAATTGTTTCCTGACAGTTTACATTTAAAAAACACACAGCAGATCCTAAGTACACATTATGATCTCAAAAAGAGGAGAGGCAGCTTCAAAGAGAGACAGATTTGTTTTTTACAGTGAAACAATCATGGATGTCTGCAGCAATTTTTATGGGTTGGCCTGTTCTTTTCTGGGGCCCAAGGAGTAGGCTTACCTTAGGGGGCCGCCCTCATCACAAGCCCCCCCCCAACCATAATCCCTCACCCAAACGAAAGCCCAGGTCTGCAGAGGAAAAGTGTCTGGGAAGGACTAATCGTAGGACAAAGAGAGTTGCTGGTGAGATCACTGGTGCCTTTCAGCATGGGCAGTGCACGTATGAGCTAACCAGGGTGTGGGACTCGTTTGACCTTTTGGCTCAGGCTGGCGGGTGCACACAGACTGGAAACACAGCAGGAGGGTGGTGCTGGTTGCCAGACTGGTGTCTCCGGGCTGCTCATAGGGAAAAGGGGCCCGAACCACAGCAGGTGGTCAGCAATATGGCAGATCACCATGCTGAAGCTGTCATTCTGACGTTCAGAATCCCCAACAGGGTCCTGTCATGACTTGCCTGATGTTTGTTCCCTAATCGGACAGAGATTAAGGCAGACGGAATGTAACATCGTACCCTGTGGCAGGCTACAGTCAAGGATGTGCTGGGTGTTTTCATTGATCAGGTCAGGTGGTAAGTGTGTGCTCAGATGGATATGGCTACAATTATTAACCTCGAGAAAATAAATACAGCAGAGTTATGTTATGGCACTGAGCAAGCGATAGCTACATTTACAAAAATACATCACGGTGATAGTTTCCACCAAAATACCACAGCTATGGTTACCACTGTAAAATAATAATGCATTAATAAACAATTTTATTGTAACAATAAGTGTACTGGTATTTTGAAGAAATCAATGGTTGCCGAGTTCTCCATATACTAAATCCCATTACTTGTGACACATTTGTGACCACATTTAGTTTTTGGGGTCTACAAGGAAATATTATTAAAGAGTTGTCAACAGCAAACGAAAGGCCAGCAGTTTGTATCTGTGAGCAATAGTAAATGTACATTTACTTGTACTAAGACACATTCTCCACCTATTGTTAATGGGATAGTTCAGCCAAAAATGAGAATTCTGACATTATTTACACAACCCCAAGTTGTTATAAACCCACATGAAGTTCTTTCTTCTGCTGAACACAAAATGAGATATTTTGAAAAACTTCCCCACTGACTTATGTAGCCTATATTATTTTCTATATAAGTCAATGGGGAAGTTAGGACCAGAAATTGGTTACCCACATTCTTCAAAATATCTTATTTTGTGTTCAGCAGAAGAAAGAACTTCATACAGGTTTAGAACAACTTGAAGGTGAGTAAATTATGACATAATTTTGGGTGAACTATCACTTTAATGCTGTTGTTTGGCCTACTAAAAGACAGCCCATGTCTTAAGTTAGCCCAATATTTTATACAGAGTTGTCAACTTTAGTTGAAAAAGCGAACTGTATTTTTTTAGGTTGGGTAAATAGTCACATGACCAGAGCCTTTTTCTTTAAAAAAGCATTTATTTTAATTGTATTTACTTTTATTGTTGTTTGATTGCCTTTTAAGGAGGGCCAGCATTGTAGCCTACATCGAGCTATTCCAAAGAGTAAAACTGATCCCTAATTATAATAACGTATAGGCTATAGAAATGTGCCTGTACTAATTAGGACATCATTTTCACCAAACTATAGTAGGCTTATGTTTATGATGTTGTTTACTAAAAGACAGCCCATGTGCGCGCGCCCCACCCACGAGCTTCAGCGGGCTATTTAAAGCGTGTAGACATCAGCAGAAGCAACGAGACCATCAATGCAACATTACAGATCATGTTGGATTTATCTCCGGTCTGGATTATTCAACACATTCAGAATTAAAATCAACTCAACTTTATGATATAATCGAATGAAGTAGCAAGACTTCAAGTTATCTAATCAACCTAGGACTTATTCTTCATTATTATTTTCAAGGATAAGTTATTCAATATGATTCCAGTGCAGCTGATCTCAACTTTGATAGTGGCGTGTGGTTGTAGTGTGCTCGCGGACGCAATGCAAGCTAACTTCACCCTGGAGAATGACATTCAGTCCAGCTTCATCCAGCGGCGGCTGAAGAGCCAGGAGCGCAGAGAGATGCAGCGGGAGATCCTCTCCATCCTCGGGCTGCCGCACCGGCCCCGTCCGCTCCTGCTCGAGAGACACACCGCAGCTCCCATGTACATGCTGGATCTGTATAACGCCATCCTGGAGGACGGAGATCGACGCAGCGGGATTGCGTACTCTTATGAACCGGCGTACACGACCCCGGGACCCCCGATGATGACCCAACAGGACAGTCGTTTTCTCAGCGATGCCGACATGGTGATGAGCTTTGTCAATCTGGGTAAGCATCTTATGATATATCATCTTAGTTTAAAACACATAATTTATATATAGCCTATATAAAAAAGTTTCTATGGATTGCTAAAGGAATTTGATAGCAAAACGCGAATCCTGTAGGTAACTTAGTAAGAGTCAAATATCAGATCAGTTATCATATTGTAATTTAATCAGTTTAGAAAAGAGGATATTAGGATTCTTAGGATTCTGATTCTTGGTGATTCCATAACTTACTCTTAGATTTATTTTAATTTTTTATGGTTTTTAGGTCAAGCAAAGAACCCCTTTTTATATCAAGAACCATTTTGTATTGGGTTCTTGAAAACTATGAGTCTATGGAGTTGACAAAAAGTTGTTGTCTTTTTTTGGCTCTTGTTTATTTACATTATAAAGGTGTAGGCCTATTGTTAAATTAAAGAACTGGAGAATAATCCTTTGCTGCCAAATGCATTTGCTTTTTCTTTGAACCTGAAAGTCTTTTATAGTAAACATTGTAAAAGCAATCATTTGGGATTATTTTGTTGTGAAAACACTTTAATTTAATTCTACATTTTTTATATTCTAAACTATATTTAGACATAAATTAGATTATGTAGCCTATGGGGTTAGTTTAAATCTTAAATGTCTTAAATATTCTTAATATTTAATGTGTTCAGCAAATGAATGCCAAAATCTGGGATAGCAGCTGTCATTTTTCATACAAATAATGTGTTATGCAATAATTCCATTTCAGAGAGATAATTTTTTTTGGGGGGGGGGGTTACTCTTTATTTTAAGGTATTTACATTGTTCAAAAGGGACTGAGTAAAATTAAGTAACTACCTGTACTTATAGAGTTATCGTTAGGGTTTGGTTTATGGTTAGTTACTTGTAATTATGCAAAATGTACTGTTATTAATAGTATAAGTACATGTAGTAACCTTTTTCTTTCCTAAATTGACTTATTAACAGTTAAATGTACGGCAGCAACCGCATATCCAATTTCCACAGAATATTCTCAAAGCCCTGAGACATGGGGTTTAATGGGGCTTTGTTTCGCATGACTAGGATTTAGGGAGGCATTTTTTGGAGAGTGCTGAGGGCAGTAGACATGGAGGGTCACATACATCATCCAAACACTCTTGCTTTCAAGACTAGACCTCTTAGTTTGTGTGAAAAGTGCGTATGTGTGGGGTCGAAAGAGATGCTGAATACTTGAAATGCAGGGCTTTAATTTTATTTCCAAGATTTGGGCATTAATGCAGTTGTGTGAATTGAAACTAATGATGCAAATGTATTTGTCAGAGTGTGTATTTAATAAGGCCAGAAGGGCAAGATCCGGTCAGGGACTTCCTTGAACATTTCTTAAACCCAATTCCTGTCTTTGTTTCCCTTGGACAAGGAAAACAGTATTCCAATGTGCTTGAATTTCATCAAATGAAATTCAATTTAAAATGTTTTAGACATTTAATGAGTGGGCAGGTGTATGATGTGTTTGGAATCAGTGTCGGACGGGGTGATCGGGCTGGTGTAGCACAGGGTGTTTTCTTTCTGATGACTGGCAGAATAATTTCACCCTCGTACCCACCCAGAACACCGTAGCAACTACTCAGAGCACCTTAGCAACCATGTAGCAATCAGCTAGAACCTTTGCAACTACCTAGGAATCACCCTAGGAAACACCTTTAAAGGCCCTAGCAACTACCAAGCAACCAGCCTGTCAAGTAACCACAACCTCCCTAGACATGCATCCCTTCAAACCTGAAATCTCTCTTCAAACTACCAAAGAAGAGTATAAGCACACAAGGATTCTATAACAACCTTCAAACTTCACACCTCTCTTCAAACTGCCCAATGTTTATGTAGCCTTCAAACTGTTTTAAACTTCCTGTCAAGTTTTTTTCAATCCAACCATCTAAAATATGAATGTGTTAATAATTCTGACATTCTTCTGTTCTTGTCTGTTTTGACAGACCAAGATTAAAACTGGTTGGAATGGACCCAATAAAAATAAATAAAATACAAGCTAAAATCTACAAGTTACAATGCGTTGTCAAGCTAACATCAAAGTTTGCTTTCCAAACTTTCTTTTTCTAGTTTTAATTTACAAAGAGGTTGTGGTTTTCCAGCAACCTGGCTGTGACCTCATAGAGCAGCTTGTGGTTAAAATGACTCCCATTTTCCATGTTTACGTGTTTCACTTGGAAGTTTGACACAGACACTGATGCTCCTACTAATGAAAATGTAAAGATCCTCCCCAACCTTTCTTATCAAAATCAAGACCTTTCGCACTTATTTGGCCTGGCACATTTAGACTGGCATGTTTTTTAAGCCAAAAGGGCATTCAATGAACTGTTTGACATGGAAGATGAGGCTGCAGCAGACACCTAGTCAGTTTACATTTAAGATAAAAAGTGGACCAAGATTATCATAACCAAACAAAAATGAACAGCGATCCGTTATGTGAATTGTTAATCCAAATTCTGCACCTCTAAACTCAAAGTAGAAGCTCGTACAACAAGCAGCGTACAAATCCACCTGTTTATGTTCATAAGCTGATTTTGAAGAAAGTAAGCAGATCTTACCTCAGATTTCTTGCCTCGGTATCAAAAGCCGATTAGACCCCCAATTAGTTTTTCAGCCATCTCAGAAGAAAACACATTTGTCATTGTCTGATATATTTAGCATTTAGCCTAGCATTGAGACAATAGAATGTTCTCTTGTTAACTTTTAAAGCCACTATTTGTAAAGTTTATGCAATAATTTAATTATCTTTTAATCGTCTTTTAGGGCTTTTCTAAGCAAATATTGATATATGCGATTGATTGATTGATTGTATATAATTTGATTAAAACCTTTAACTGATTGATAGCACATATCCCACAACTGAAAAGGCTTGCATCTGCAAGTGTAATTGTTTTGCTCAACAGAGATTATAACAATTAAAAAGGTTTGTTCTGCCAAGTGTATTGGCCCTCATTCCTGTCCTCATATCAAGAACACAGCACATGGTGCAGCATGCATATCTGAGCGCAGATCATTGCATCATATGGTATTTCACATAAATGCACCAAGCCTTATACAAGCAATTATTACCTCCATAAAATACCCATGTTTTTCTTTCCACTGTTTAATGGCGGTAAAACAAATGACTCGCTATTTTGAGTATGCACACACCTCAGAGTTCTTCCTCTCAGAGTGCTTCACCAGTAACTGTGCTCTCGCAAGATAGTGAGATGTAGGAAAAGACACAAATGCTTCACAAACTCACAGACAGGATGTGCATAAAAATATGAGGAATCAGCATGACTTATTCCCTGCATACCTGCAGGAGGTCACTTAAAAACCTCGGAGTAAGTGGAGGGGTGGTAATCAAGGATGACAGATTGGTTAGCATTGTAAAAACACCACAATACCTCCAGGAAATGTTATGCTCATGCCACCATCAGACTGGAAATTCTGAGGATGGCCTCAGCTGAGTTAGGGCTGGGAGGAAACAACACAGGCGTTAAGTCTGTGTCGGCTAAGACTTCATTCATATGATTTTTATTCTCTAAACTCATGGAGATGTTTATGGGTATGGATTACCAGATGCCAATTGCCAACAAAAGAGGAAATGAGGCCTACCCCACTGAAAATATTAGCTTGGAACTGAATTTCAATGATGGTTCAGAAGGTTATGCTGGAATGGTGACCAGAAATCAAATATGGTGAAGCTAGTTGATCCCAGCATCCACAACCCAACATATGCTGGTTATATGGTGGTCTTTTCAACAGGATAGGAACAACCTTGTCCCAGATGTGGTCAACCATGTCTAGAATATTTGGAACAAGCCAGATGCTACACAAGACCTCTTCCTTATCCGGAATTAGATTAATTTACCACAGTTAACAGGTCTCTCAGGTTAGCATGCCAAGGAGTCTCCATCAGAGCCACCAATATACCATCTGAACGTGCATGTGTATCCATTACGTATATGTATGTGGGGCACCGTTGGTTTCCGGGCCAGGCTCTTAACAGAGCTTTTCTTGTGGTTGGCACATGTGTGTGATTGAAGTCTATGGTGGGTGGGTGCAGGGCATGTGGTTTCTCCCCCAGCTTCACTCCCCAGGGTACCCAGCGCCCAGATCAATCACTGGCTTATGGAAGCAAACATTTCTTTTTTGGACACAGTGATGTGGGTGAGGCAATCAAGTGTAAGCGTTCAGTGTGACTCGACTGTGTTTCTGACAGAATGAAGTCTGTGTATGGTGACTTATGCTGCGGTGTGAGTTTGTGTACTCATTAGTGGGCAGCGGCACTGTGAAGTTGAATGAGACAAAAAGCCTGTAGTTTGCATTGAGACCAAACCGACTTGAGTTTTTAACCAACTCAGCACAGATTTTGACATTTCACATAGATAAATTCTATGCAAAATATAAGTTAATAACATTACATTGGGGGAATCACTCCACAAGAAATAAATGTGGACTGTGACAAATAGAAGTTAACCAATTAGATAATGTTTGTTTTATTCAAATAATATTTCCACATAATGAGGACAGTCACACTGTGACAATTTTTCACATTTATTGTCTTAAAATAGCTAATATTAATAATAGATTATTGTATGTTTATGTGCAGCTAAATTAAATGATAATAGAAATAAAATTAAAATAGAAATGGCTTTTTTGTTCTTGAAGGACAGTTAAATTACATTTCATACAAATTAACTTCCATTTACTCAATCATCTCCCTCTTTCTGAAGTGGACCCAGATGAAGACCTCCATTTATATCATCAGCACCGTAGAGAGTTCCGCTTTGACCTCTCCCGCATCCCGGCGGGAGAAACCCTGACTGCTGCAGAGTTCCGCATCTACAAGGACTTTGTGCACGAGCGTTATGAAAATGAGACATTTCGTGTCAGTGTGTTCCAGGTGCTTCGACAGCAGCCCAAAAGGTATGTCATTATAAAAATACATTTGAAAAAATTATTGTATTTGGCCATTCAGCCCATGACATTGCCAAGAACATTCCTTGTTCAATTGTGCATGATTCAACAGTGCATGATATTTCAAAATGCAATCAATTGCTCCTTCTTTCAAACTACTTTCTTTTTTGACTGACTTTACAAATCCCTTCTCAACTCCTCCCCTCCAACTTTCTGTTCCATTGTGGAATGTAACACTCACTTACATGATCCTATCAATTACCAATGGATAATATCACGTCTCTTTTATTGAAAATCTGTTCTATTGTAAAATATATTGGAAGTAAAATGGGCATGGTGTTTCACATTGACTTTAATTTGGATGTGCATCTGTTTTCCCTGGGACTTTAATGGTTTTGTTATTTATTGTGTCAGCTATGAGGAAAGGATATAATTTTTCAGATATGTGAAAGCTAATGGTATGTTCAAGTTGGTTGGGTTTTTAAAAGAGCAGTGTCTAACGGCCTCTAGTCATAATAAAAAATACAGTGAAATGTCTGAAATTAAACATATGCCACCACTCACATTTTAAGCCTAAATGTGGGAGGAATGGGCCTTCACACACACACACTGATTTGTCTGCCCAACGGTACATGTCTAGTGCCAGGGCTCCCACAGAATTCCTCTATCTGATTTACGGTGTGGCCACTAACAAGCAGTGAGGGCCGCCGCCATTACAAAGCTATTACTGTCAATTATTGAGATGCAAAGTCCTCGGTGGAAGGGAGGTTCTTCGCCCCAGACATCTGGAGAAACACCCCAGTCCTCAAAATGATTTCCCCTTCATTCCCTCATCCTTGATCACACCTCTTTGGAAAGTTCTGATTGTGTCCATAAAGTAACAAACCTGAAGAAGTCCTACAGGTGAGACATGCTCAGACAGACTCTCTCTCTTGAGTTCTCCATTGCTTGTCCTAAATTACATGCACACTAAAGCATTATCCACCCCCGATGCACACATTCCCTGTGAAGACCACCCATTGTGAATCATCCTTCCTTTACCTCTCCCATTGTTATGCAGAGACGGTTCACCCCGTTGATGCGCACAGACAGCAAGGCGACTAGACACCTAGTCTCCTGATGCCCTCAAGGTCTGAAATCCTACCTGTAAGTCAAGTCATTGTTCAGAAGAACCATCCAGAAGCCCCCTGTTTTCATCACCAGAGGACAATCTGATGACATTTAAGTAACACCACATTTAATAAGAGAGAACTTTGAGCTCTCTTGGAAACATGTTGTTGCCTGTGCAGCGTCAGTTGTTTTTGATTTTATGGGTCATATGAGCCAGACCTCAAGGTCTTATCTCATGGAATAGAGCTTATTTTGTGTTATCTTTATTTGAGAAGGATAACAAGTTCTGGCATGAGATGGCATTTTAGCTTCTCATTCCTTGTCTGCAAAGAAAACCTCATGAAGGAATCATGATGTTAATGCTAATGATGCTCCTATTCGACTACATTGTGAATCATGCTTTACATTTAAACTACTGTACACCACAGTGACAGTCTCATTGAGATATTAAGGTGTGGCCACATTTACCATTGTCTGGCAAATTTCGGGCAGATTTCATAACAGTTGTATGGTCTCGCAGATTCACTCTGTGTTGACCAGGAAGCTGCTTGGTTTTAAAGTTACCTATGTGTGAGTTATGCTTCGCACATTTCTACCGCGCTGAAAAATCCAGCATTTCTTGTCACCAGCATAAGGTATTATTTTGCATGCTAGGACCTACATGTGATGCTGGTTGCTGGTTTGCTGGTCAACAGCAGAGGAAGCAGGAGTACCTGTTGACCAGCTACACCAGCTCAGTTTTGCTTGAGAACAATATGACTATGCTGGTCCTAGATCAGCATTACCAGCTCTACCCAGAATAAATTAGCCTGGACCAACATTTACAGTTTATGCTGTATTTTTCAGCAGGGTACACTATTGACTATAGACAATGAATGGACCTATTTTGCCTGTGAAATTTCGCTAATGTAACCCCACCTTTGCTATAAATATGTATAGACAATTTAAATCCACTACATAAATTAGAAGGTCTAATCATTCTACGTCTGTAGTTAGTGGTGATTGGTCTTAGTTATTTCAACAAACTTACTCATAAACATTAAAGTTCAGCATGTATCTTGTTCCTCACACTTTATGCATCATAAATGATTCCCTTAAACTCATGTGACTTGTTGAGAATTGGTGTGCTACTTTACTACTACTACTACTACTACTAAAAATTCTGACTTTTAATTTTTACCTGGCAGACAATCAAACAGACGAAAACTGCATAGACTTATACTGAACGAGGGGCCCGATTCAAGCCATATCTAGGGACTAGAATGTCATAGAAATTTGGGGGTGGGTTACTACTACTGACTTGTACAGCGCCCATCGCAGGACAAAAAAAGATATTGTGGCCACAAATTAGAAGCCACAATTTACCTAAAATAAGGAAACAAATTAATAAGTCATGGGAACAAATTCTTAATTCAAAGCCACAATATCTTATTTTTTCCCCCTCTGAATGTCATGTGTGGGGTCTTGAAGACTTGGACCAGTAACATTCTAGGAGCTGCATAGCAACATATGTTTTTTATTGTTTCAGTCATCATTTATACTTTTTTTTTTCGATCGTAGTATAGAGCTATTGACCCATATATGACCTCTTTTGACCCTGCTTAGGGAGCTGTACCTGCTGGACTCGCGAGTCGTATGGGCGGCAGAAGAAGGATGGCTGGTATTTGACCTCACGGTCACCAGTAACCACTGGGTCATAAAACCTGGTCAGAACTTGGGACTGCAGCTTTCTCTGGAAAGCGCATATGGTAGGTAACTTCAAATATCAAGATATCGTTATAACATAACCTGCCAAACTACCATCCTACCATATGGCTGAATGGCACTTAAAGGGATGGTTGATCAAAAATGAAAATTCTGTCATTAATTACTCACCCTCATGTCGTTTCAAACCCGTAAGACTTTCGCTCATCTTCGGAAGATCTACATGAAGATCTTTGTAATGAAATCTGAGAGCTTTCTGTCCCTCCATTGACAGCCTACGCAAATATCACTTTCAAGCCACAGAAAGGTAGTAAAGGCATCAAAAAAGGAATCCATTTGACTCCAGTGGTTTAACCTCAATTTTATGAAGTGCATTGTTTGCGCAATAAAACATAATTTACCACTTTATTTACAAAATATTAATCTCCAATTTCTTGTCTAAATCTCCAATGTCTTTACTACCTTTCTGGGGCTTGAAAGTGGTAGTTGCATAAGCTGTCAATGGAGAGACAGAAAGCTTCTCATTTGTGTTCCGAAGATGAACGAAGGTTTTACAGGTTTGGAATGACATGAGAGTGAGTAATTAATGACAGAATTTTCATTTTTGGGTGAACTAACCCTTTATGGATAGTTCAGGCAAAAACGAAAATTCTGTCATCATTTATTCACCATCATGTCAAACCAAACCTGTACGCATTTCTTTCAGCTGTGAAAGACAAAAGAAGATATTTAAAAAAAAAATGTCTCAAAACATCAGGGGGCTCCTGTGTTGTTCTGAACAACCAAAACAAAATATTGTAACATGAGAACTCATAAGCAGAATATCTATCTTAAAGTCATCATGCAACTCATGTCGCCCTCTGTAGGTGAGAGAATGAACCCAAGGAGAGCAGGTCTGGTGGGCAGCAGTGGACCTCAGAATAAGCAGCCATTTATGGTGGCGTTTTTGAAAGCATCAGGAATCCACCTCCGTAGTGTACGCTCAGCATCAGGAAACAAACAGAGGGGTAACCACCGTTCTAAAAACCCCAAACCTGGTGTTGCACCCAGCCAGGTGGCTTTAAAGACAGCTGAGGCCACAGGTGACACTTTTTACAATAAAATGTGATCTTGTGGTTGTTCATTGTTGTAATTTTCAGCCTTATGCATTTTTTTATTTATTTCTACCATCCGACATACAGTATACCATCATACTACCTAACCCTAATAAATATACAGTTTATTAACATACAAATGTGCTATATTTAATTATCCTTCCTCCTGTTCTACGCAGACGGTGCCAGCGTAGATCCCAAACAAGGCTGCAAGAAGCATGAACTCTATGTGAGCTTCAGAGATCTGGGATGGCAGGTACTGTGATGAGCTAAGTGTTCCAGACTGCTCTTTTATTGTATGCCTTTATCTCATCTAAAATTTCTCATCTTTCTTGCATTTCCAGGACTGGATCATTGCTCCAGAGGGTTATGCTGCGTACTACTGTGAAGGAGAATGTGTGTTTCCTTTGAACTCTTATATGAATGCCACAAACCATGCTATTGTACAGACACTGGTAAGTCCCACAATCATTTTTTTTTTCGTTAAATGAATGGTTAACCCAAACATTTTGTCATCATTTACTGATCAACGTGTCATTTCAGTCTCATATAATTGTCTTTCTTACATGATGATTTTCGAATGTTTCGGCTGTTGTCCATACAATGAGAATCAATAGGGTCCGAATCTGAGCAAAACAGAACAACATTTAAGTGGTTATTCACTCTCAAATCAAATCAAATTATTGATCAACTCAAGTACATAAAGCTCAACTAAAATATGGTGACACATCAATAACATCAAACGTCACTGGTAGAAAATTTGTGAGCCAAGGTATTCTAAAGGGCTTTTCACACTTGAAATAGTTAACCCTAGGCCATTCTAAACCCCAGTTAAACGGAATCCTGGGTTATCTTGCTTCCCGTTCCACACTGCTCATAATTAACCCAGGGTTAATAATTAATCTTAATAGCATTTCACACTGTAAAATCCTAAACCTTGGGTGAACATTCTAATTTGCATATTTGATGTGTCAGTGTCATTGATTGGACGAAGCAACACACAACCTGTTTACATAAAGGCTCTAGCATTGTGCCTCCTCATATTATATATTTCTGACTGTACTATCAAGTTTTTCATGTTTCATGAATGGAGCTTTCGAAATGTAAAAAATAAAGTCTCTTTGTCACACCAGCTGACACATTTCCCATCACCTTTTGACATTTTTCCCCCTTTAAAGGGGCACTTGGCAACTCTAGACATTTCTTCGCTGATTTTCACTTTTGTTGTCGCATGTTTTCTCATCGAGCTCCCCCTACAGCTGTGCGGCGTATATTTTCACAACACTGTCATAAAAAAACTCACTTGCGGCACCTTCCTCCCGTTTTCTACCGCTGCTCATGTGCATTTGTTATTATCGGAGCCGGCCAACTTTATCGTGTGGAGCTATGTCTACCGAGTGGGTAATAGATCATACACAGTATCATAGAATTATGTCGAATTGCCATAAAGCAGTTCGTGTTTCTCGCTCGTTCTCGCTTCTCACAAGGCTTCTATTTCCAACTTACCGGGACGTTGGTCCCCATGTTGCAAGGTTGGCTTTCCACCTGGGAGGGCTGGGGGGAGCGGGGAAAGTCATCATTCTCTCCAGAACAGGTTATTGAACCATTCAAATGATTTCTAAATGCTTTTATTAAGTTGAAATAGTTGCCAAGTGCCCCTTTAAATGTTGAAACTACTGTTTATACAACATGCAGTGTTTCTGTGACTGTTCAAAACACAATAATATGAGGTACTTGACTGTTTGTCTGTTGTGAAGCATCTAGCCATAACATTTTAATACAGCATTATTTCACGCTGTGCACGTTTGGGCTTAAGACTGTAAAAGTGGTGCTAACCCTGCTCCGGAGCAGTGTTTCATAACTCCACGTAAAAAATAGTGTTAACCCTACTTCTAAGTTACAAGTGTGAAACATTTCTCTACCTGAGGTTTAAAGTGGGGTTTAGAACGACAATGAGCAGTGCCCTTAATTAAGCCCTTAAATTTGCAGAGCTCTCTTTGGAGTTCTGTACAGGAGATGGACATTATTAATAAAAAATGTATTCAAGTTTTAAACATTTATATGCTCTGCAGTTATTATAATCATAATTTTTCACTTAAAATAATTCATTTCTCTGGTCTTTCTAGGTCCATTTCATAAACCCAGAAACAGTCCCGAAGCCCTGCTGCGCTCCAACTCAGCTGCACGGAATTTCTGTTTTGTACTTCGATGACAGTTCCAATGTAATATTGAAAAAGTACCGCAACATGGTTGTCAGAGCCTGTGGATGCCACTAATCACTACTTCTGCCCATGCCGGAGGGATTCATAAAGTATGGAAAAAATACGGGACGCAAATACTTATTTTTTTAGTGACTATCAGGTGCCCAGTGAGGAAAGAGACTCATTACTGGATCAAAACTGGACTTTTCTGTTAGAAGACTCATTTTCATGTAAGACTCAAAACTCCTGGAATTGTTTGAGGTTGACCAAAGCTGAGTCAAGTGTGGGGCCTTCTGGCTTTCATTTCTGTATAGAAAGCCAAGTTTGGAGTATCAAAGAGGACATGAGCAGATACAGAGAGAGAGAAAAAAAAAAACTGGCCTCACAGATTTAACCAGACTGATCAGGGAAGATGTAATTGATTTAAGCACATTGCTCTATATAGTTGTAATTACAAAAAACACTTTTACACACTATGGCATGTTTTCTGTATATAATTCACTTAAGTAATTTCTGCAAAAATCCTGCTATGACTAACCTTATCAAAATATCTGAGACCACTAGTGAAAATGTTTGTGTTTTGGTGAAATGAAAATGATTTTATGTTTTAATATTTCCTTTTCTTTAAAAATCATATTATAAGTATAACAATGTGATAACATTGTGAGTAAAACAACAATGTGAGTAAAAAGTTGAATGAAAAACTCTTTCAGCATGATTTGAAAATGTGTGCTTCAGTGGGAGAATTTATAATCTTAAATATTTATTTTTAATTCTACATCAAAATTTGGTTAGTTGCTGGTTTAAATGAGATGTTAAATCACAGAAATTCCTTGTGGTCACAGTCTTTTAGACTCCACTGTATTTCAGCACAAGATGTGAGTTAGAAATATAAGTTCTGGGTGTCTGTTACAATGAGTCAAAGCAATATTTTCACTCTTCACACAATTGCACTATTTCAGGACACTCAACAAACCCTTTCACATATGTTCAGCACTCGATTAAACAGGACTGCAGAAGATATGAAATTCAATTTTGCCTTGGAGTCACTTTGGTTTCATTGCATACATGAAAGAACACATGTTTTCTCTCAGCAGTTATCAGTTCCTCAGTCATAAAAAAACCGGCCTGGATTTGGCCTTTTAGGGGCTTCAGTCAAGCTCATAGTTTCGTGTTTACAACTCCACTGGCAATTGATTTCGAGTGAATATATTTAAATTACTTTGGATCTCTATCATTAATAATTTTACATACTTATGTCGAGCATAGAATAGGTTCTCCTGCTAAATTTCTGTCTCAATATGTGTGTATTTGTTTTGTTCAACTTCTGACCCTCATTCTGTTGTTGATAAATCCAGTGTCATACAAGAGTGTCAATCAAGATCCTCTCAATATACCTGAATAAAAATATTAGCACATTATCACAATCTCTTGTATTGGCTAAACAAAAGGGCCTTTCTTAACCAGTTAGCGCTCTATGCTAAGCTAGTAGGCCAAAGGCTAACTGAGAACACAAAGAAAAGGAAATATTGGTAACACTTTATGAAGACCACGCTTATAATGAATTATAGCTCTACTGTACTTATTTACAAGTATTACTATTTTATAAATATATTTATAAAGACTCATTAAGACCTATGCATTATAAGAACAGTTATAGCTACATATATATTATTTTTATAATTACTTATAAGTCATGCATTTGCTTTTTCAGTGTGCCATAATCCATTATACACTGATCCTTAAGTATTAATTAGTCAGTCGTATAGTCAGTCATAATTGATGGCTTTAAGTAAAATGAAAACATAGGATACAATTTTCTTAAAGGAAATTTTAAGAAATTATGAAGATGTGCTCATTATACATTTTTAAGTTGTTTACTTGTAAATGTAAACAATGAATAATAATTCCTGCAATAAAATAATAGAGAAAAAAACACAACTCATTAAACAGTTGAAAAGAAATATCTTTTTTAATGTTACATAATAGCACAACACTGCAACAATATTTTTTTACAGTGTAATTCCAAACTGCTATAAGCAATACCATGCATATGGCTGAGGAGATATAGATTTTTAACAAATCATGACCTCTAATGCAAGCATTAACCATTAAAGACATAATTGATAATTAATTGGTACAGCAATCAAGTGTCCCTGGAACTATTTTATATTCTTCTATCATTTATAAATCAGTGTAATGGATTATGAGCATGAGCACATTGAAAAAGCAAATGCATGATTTATAATTATAAAAAATAATATAAATGTAACTATAGAACTGTCCTTATAATGCAGTATAGTTCTTAATGAGTCTTTATAAATATATTTATAGAATAGTAATACTTATAAATAAGTATAAATGGGGCTATAATTCATTATTAGCATGGGTTTTGTGTGATGGTTTAGGAGTTAGGTTAGTGTGTGTGTATGTGTGTGTGTGTGTGTGTGTGTGTGTGTGTCTGGCAACTCATGTGACTCATGTGTCAGTATTGCAGGATGTGTCCACCTGCAGTCTCCGAGTCATCACTTAGCTCATCCTCTCCTGTGAAGAGTGGCCAAGCCAGCAGGTGGGCGGTATCAGGGGAGAGCATTTGGTTATGATCTGAACATTCTGAATAAATCAAATGATAAAATGAAATGAATAAAACTGTCTAAAGAGGAGCAGGTGTGATAGATTTTGGCAGATGAAAATGTGACCCGTGCAGCTGTTCTTAATAACGTCGATACAATACAACATTGTAGTGGTTCGTTAAAGAGAGGCTGCAGTGATGGAAAAGATGACTTTCGAAACCAGATGTTTGGATAACTGAAATACATTTTATATGCCATATATTTCGTTTTTTAATGTTGTCCAGGAAATATGTTTTATCATTATGAAAATTGCAATACAACAAAATCACAAAGTAACCACTTCACATTAATCAAACAAAGTAAATGTAAATATTATATGAAATTAGATGTTTTGTGTTGTTTTATCAGAGGGCTTCTACTTATGGGGTATTAGGCATTAGGAATTATATAGACTCCCTTGTTCAAAAAGGAACACAAGTATTCCATACACCTATTTTCTACCTATATCATTTTACAAATAGTGTGTAAAACAGTATGCATTATGCAAATCTTTCAAACGGCAGTATGCTACATTATTGTTACATGCCCTCATTATATTGCATGTTTAATTCAGCTAGTGCATCCAGTTATCTCATGAAGTTGTGTGTGTCTGAATGGAAATGATAACAGATAGTTTGCCCCAGGAATTATAAACATCTGTGGGTTACATATCCTATACATGCTATACAATGCAGAAGGGATCCCATTCTGAGCATTTTATTGCACACACAAAAAAAAAAAAAAAAAAAGTATACACTGTTGAAATATTTTTGCGTATGCCTAAATATGCTGTTTATTTGGTCGGCTTTTAGGAGTACACCAGCATATTACCACCAAGCTAACATACATTAAGTCCAATGTAAAAAAAGAGAGAAAAAACAAAGAGTCCAATATCAGATATCGCAAAGGTTTTTAAGATGCCCTTTATACCAATGTGTGAGCTTACAAGAAATGATACACTGCAAAACATAAAAATAACTATTGTAATACCCTACTTTGTTGTTGTACTGTGGTAGTTGTAAGAAGGTCTGATATGCGTTTTGTAGCCTAACTAAATAAACTACAGTTCAATATAATACAGTTCTATAATATAATTTAAATTGTAATTCATCCCTGTGATGAATTTTTAGCAACCACAACTCTTATTACTAACATGCTGATTTGGCTCAAGAAAACGTTTCTTTTTATTATCCAATATTTTAAATTCTTGCTCTGCTGCACTCCATTGCGCAGCACTCTGTATGTTGAAATGGCCAATCAAATCAAAAGTAGGTGGAGTTTACAGCAAGAAGTCTCAGTTCAAAAGAGAGTAAATCAAATATGTAAATAGAAAATAATTTAATACATGTCAACTGGTTTACGATTGAAATGTTAATTAACTGTAATATGTAGGCTATAATGGACGTTTGCCATTATATTTTTAAAACAATAATATCTTAGAAAAAACATTAAGTAATATTGACAAAGGAGCCGTAATTGATCAATTTGCAACAAGAATATTTTCATACTCCTAAGCGTGTTCAGACCTTTATTTTGAAATAGCAATGAGCATGAAAAATCATGAAAAAATGATAGAAACCTCAGTTTGTTTTCATGCCAAGAGTTCAAAAGATAGCATCGATTCAACTATTAAAAAAAAAAAAAAGCTCTGAAAATGTTTTAAATATAAAGAAAAAAATAATAAATTCACCATTTGTGATGTGGCAGGGAGCTATAACGCACATGCGTGTGCTTTGTATGTGTTTCTTAGAGGTTGAATTCATATCAAAATCTGCCAAACTTCCCATACTACTTCTGAATAGGATCTCTACTTCATAAAGTGTATGCAAATTGTGGAAATAATGGTTCAGATCACTCAAAACACATATGGAAATGGAGGCGCCCTAATATGGGCAGTAATGGAGTCTGGTTGTGACCTAGTGAAAAAGTTTGGTACTGCGCCCAAACAAAATCTTACTGAAAGCTAATTTTATGACATATCAATCTAAAATTTGAAACACAACTTGTTCAGATTTTTGGCTTTGATTTTACTGCAGTTTTAGAGTAGCCCAGGTTTTGAAAATATATATTTGATATAAAATATGAATAATTAATTTTTTTACATTGTACATTTCCATAAACTCAAACTTCTATAACTTTTTTTCTGTTTCACTTTCTTAATTTATTTCACTTCTACAAAAATCTGCCAATTGTCTTCTTTAAAACAAGACCAATCTGACGTCTATATTCCAAAGCATTCTTGAATTACAACTATTTAAGTTCTATCATAGTTTTTGTTATTTTTGGACCAAAATGTATTTTCGATGCTTCAAAAAATTCTAACTAACACACTGATGTCACATGGACTACTTTGATGATGTCTTTATTTCCTTTCTGGACAAGGCCAGAATACCGTGTATACATTTTCAATGGAGGGACAGAAAGCTCTCGGACTAAATCTAAAATATCTTAAACTGTGTTCCCAAGATAAACGGAGGTCTTACGGGCTTCGGACGACATGAGGGTGAGTCATTAATGACATAATTTTCATTTTTTGGGGAACTAACCCTTTAAACCTACCCAAACCACCAAACATGTCTCTAACCTTACATGTATCGTACCGCAATAGCAGCAAAAGCGTTTTGCTATACAGCATGAACTCAATAAGTACATTGTATTATATATTTTTTAATTTAAGTACATAGTAAACCTCATATAAAGTGTGACTATAAATCTCACTGATGCCAAACTTATGTATGGTAGTGTACTTGATTTGGTAACATTGCAGTTTCTATGTACATATATATACACTCACTGGCCACTTTATTAGGTACACCTGTCCAACTGCTCGTTAACACTTAATTTCTAAGCAGCCAATCACATGGCGGCAACTCAGTGCATTTAGGCATGTAGACATGGTCAAGACAATCTCCTGCAGTTCAAACCGAGCATCAGTATGGGGAAGAAAGTTGATTTGAGTGACTTTGAACGTGGCATGATTGTTGGTGCCAGAAGGGCTGGTCTGAGTATTTCAGAAACTGCTAATCTACTGGGATTTTCACGCACAACCATCTCTAGGGTTTACAGAGAATGGTCCGAAAAAGAAAAAACATCCAGTGAGCGGCAGTTCTGTGGGCGGAAATGCCTTGTTGATGCCAGAGGTCAGAGGAGAATGGCCAGACTGGTTCGAGCTGATAGAAGGGCAACAGTGACTGAAATAACCACTCGTTACAACCGAGGTATGCAGCAAAGCATTTGTTAAGCCACAACACGCACAACCTTGAGGCGGATGGGCTACAACAGCAGAAGACTCCACCGGGTACCACTCATCTCCACTACAAATAGGAAAAAGAGGCTACAATTTGCAAGAGCTCACCAAAATTGAACAGTTGAAGACTGGAAAAATGTTGCCTGGTCTGATGAGTCTCGATTTCTGTTGAGACATTCAGATGTTAGAGTCAGAATTTGGCGTAAACAGAATGAGAACATGGAACCATCATGCCTTGTTACCACTGTGCAGGCTGGTGGTGGTGGTGTAATGGTGTGGGGGATGTTTTCCTGGCACACTTTAGGCCCCTTAGTGCCAATTGGGCATCGTTTAAATGCCACGGCCTACCTGAGCATTGTTTCTGACCATGTCCATCCCTTTATGGCCACCATGTACCCATCCTCTGATGGCTACTTCCACCATGTCACAAAGCTCTAATCATTTCAAATTGGTTTCTTGAACATGACAATGAGTTCACTGTACTAAAATGGCCTCCACAGTCACCAGATCTCAACCCAATAGAGCATCTTTGGGATGTGGTGGAACGGGAGATTCGCATCATGGATGTGCAGCCGACAAATCTGCGGCAACTGTGTGATGCCATCATGTCAATATGGACCAAACTCCCTGAGGAATGCTTCCAGCACCTTGTTGAATCTATGCCACGAAGAATTGAGGCAGTTCTGAAGGCAAAAGGGGGTCCAACCCGTTACTAGCATGGGGTACCTAATAAAGTGGCCGGTGAGTGTATAACTCTATACTGTAGCTCACACAGTAAAGCCTTGGCGCTTGCAACACCAAGGTCATGGGTTCAATTCACAGGGAAAGCAAGAACTGAGAACTGATAAGAATGTAAAAATGTGTACCTTGAAATGCAACTGTAATTCAGATTTTTTTTTTAACAAAAAAAAACCTTTTTGTTATAATTCAACAATATCTAATTCAGACTTTAGTTGCTCAATCTTTGATTTTTGAAATTTCCCTGAACTCAGGAGCTGTGAAGTGTCTCTTTCTTGATTTATCTTTTATCTGTGGTGTGGGCTTCTTTTCGGCATTACACTTCGGGACATGATGTCCACCCACTTCAGTTACACCCTGATTGGTAGGTTGTGATGAAGAGGCGGGCATATGAGTCAATGCCAAGCACACGTCACCCACCCTTAGTTGACGGCATTGTAGTCTGCAGGATTGACTTGTGTGTTGAGGGTTACAGGAGGACCAGCCATGCCCACACACGAAGAAAGGCAGCTCTTCACTCACCTCCAGAGACAACTGCAGAAATGTTTTTAATATATTTTAAAGAATAGTTCACCTGAAAATGACATTATAATTAAATATAATTTTTACTCCTTATGTCTTTTCATTTACTGTTCTAAAAAAGAGATCCTTGGCAGAACACATATTTTGTGTTTCAGAAAAAATGGTTGGAATAGTAACTGTGCGTTCACACCGGACGCGAATAGCGCGTCAAATTCGCGTCTACCGCGTCTAGTTTGACGCTTGACCACTTTGTGTTAATTCGCGTGTCAATGGCGAAATTGACGCGCGTAAAAACAAAAGTTTGAAGCGAAATTTACGCGCGTCAGAGGCGAAATCCGGAGGCGAAAGTTTCGAAACCCGTTGGCGGCCATCTTTTTAGATGTTTATCGAGCATTAGCATTAGCATTATTCGAGAGAGTCACCGCTCGTATATGCTCTGGAGAGCAGAAACAGCTCCGTAGGGGACATCGTCGCTGTACTCGGGTCCACCAGAACCTCCGGAGGGTTTCAGGAGTTTCACAATTTGCTGCAGGAGCTAGGTTTGGTGGACCTAATGGTGAGGACGCTGACGAGGACAGCGTAGGCCGTATAAGCCCTCGGCCTCGAGTGGTCTAGCTATGCCTGTCGAGCCCGCGCTCTACAGCCCGGCGCGAGGTTCATCCTCGTCCGCATCCACCTAATCTGTCATTTATTTTTGTTTTGATAATAAATGAAGCCAGCCTCCAAAAGTGATTAATCTGTCCTGTGATTTTTCTCTCTCTCTCACACATCACTGTCCAGACACGAACTTATATGTTGGTTGTCTTTACATTATAATAATATTTCATTTAATCTAGATATGGAATAAATAGCATTCAATGCAAAATGAATATGTCTCATATATTGAAATCAAGTTTTATGTGATAAAATATTTGCTTTGTTGTGCATTAGAACCACAGTCATATATTACAAAATAATTTATTGAAGCATCCAGATACTTCACCACGTGACAGCAGCAAGCAGCTAGGCTCCTGATTGGTTAACGCGGCGCGAATTGACGCAGAAGTTCAGATTTTTCAACTCGGGCGGCAGACGCGAATTCGCGTCAAACGCGTGAATGCACAAATAGCACTAACTAAATCATTCGCGCGTAACGCGCTTAACGAACTTGACGCGCGAATGAGGCGTATTCGCGTCTACCGCGCCGCGCTCTACGCCTCATTCGCGCCGCAGGAATTTTTTACGCGCGTAACGCGTCTTTGCATTGACTTAACATTGAAATCACTCGCGCCTGACGCGCTATTCGCGTCCGGTGTGAACGCACCATTAGACTTCATTATTCCTCAATATGCAGCATATCAGTAATATTTTCTGTTCATGTGTGTGCTTACCTGCGAGTGGTCATGCTCAATCTCCACGTGCAAACAAAACAGCGCAGGTGTGTGTGAAGGTGTGATCTTTAACACAGTGAAACGTTTCAGCATCAGCTCAGGATGTAATTGAGCACACTGCTCCAAATCTTCTGTCCTTAAATCCTCCACCCGCTTCAGTCGACCACCCTCAAGCTCCACCAAAGAGCCTTCTATAAAGCGACGGAGAATGCATAGGGCAGAAGAGGAGGATGTAGAGTGTGTGATAGTGTTCGATAGAGGATTGTGTTTTTCTGCATCTCCTCTCCAGACCAGTAGGGGGAGCTCCTCTCTTGTTTGATTTTCACCTTGCCACTCTGATCCTTCAAGCACTGCATGAGTAGAACAGTTCAAATCAACCGGCTGATGATGGTTGTACTTTGTGTTTTGTTTAAAATATTTTTTTTTAGAATCTGTGTAAAGTAGCGAACCTAGAAGTGGGTTGTTTTTCACATAATGTCTCTCACTGTCTCTTTTGGAGCAGATTCTTTGACTTTGTGGTTCGCGGTACCAATGTGAATACTTTGATCTCTCATTTTGCATGCACAGTTTGACTTCCTCATTTGGAATATCTCTTCTTAGAACGTCCCTAACAACCCCTGTATAGAAATATGAAGCCGACAACGGGTCGACTTGTGGATTAGGCAGCTTACTGAAACCTTTGACAAGTCCATGTCCTACTCCTGGAGTTAAATAACTCCAGTATGAAGTATCCCTTCCAATACTATGCAGCGTATTTGGGTCAGTCACGTGTAATTGTGATGAAGGTGGCAGATATCTACTGCTAGTAGAGTTCTGACTCAGTGAAGAGTGGATCTGATTCGCTCCAATAACACAAGAGAGGTCAGGAGTCACAGAGCCTAAATCACACCTGTAATTATACAAATTAAATGCATCTGTGACAATGTCAGGTGTGGATTCCCGTACATGTCTAGGTCTTCTGAATATTAATTCCTGATTCCAAAAGGGTGAGGGGGTTTTAAAAATGTGTTCAGATGACTGTTCATTGGAATTTGGTACAGAATTCCATTTACCTAATACTGAGGAGGAACTTGTATTTCTTGCCATGAGCACAACAAAGATTGCAGTATCACATTTGACATAAATGATCTGTTGTCCTCCTCTTTCTCTCTTTAAACGTCTTGCTTAGTGGTTGTGGAGAAATGTCAATAAGTTAGTTTACAAATTGTTTATGGTGTAAATTATTTAAGATGTTTTCAGAATCTTAGGGCATCAACTCTTAGCATTCACAGCTTTGATAGTTCTTTGTGTTGTTGTGATGGGTAAATTGATTTACGTATTAAAGGAGACTTATGGCATCACACTAACTGGAGAACTGTTGGGTGGTCAGTCCTAAGAATCTCTGAAAAAAACACACAAAAAAACACCTTTAGCCAACAGATACAATATTAAGTCTTAAAAAACTCTGTAAAGAACCTTTTTAAACTTAAAAATGCAGTACATTGTGAAGTTTACTATGTTATACTTTTAGGAGGCACATTCTTTTCGAAGTTTACTTTTAACATTAAAATAACCAAATGGGCACCACACATTTACTAAATAGACACTTACTTCGTCCAGTAAATAAATAAATATTGAATGACAATTACGCATGCGATTAGTACATTTTCTACAATAGCAATGACAATGGAAATTTGAGCTTTTGTGTAATGCCGCATTCACGCCAATATATGTATAAAGTCTAAGACCACTGTTATCAGCAAATGAAAACAAACAAAAATGACTTTAAATTCAATATTCAATCTATGACACTATTTACTGTCTTAATGCATGGTCTCATGATTCATCAGACCATGTTATTTCATATTAAAAATGACTTGTAAAACTTTTCTCAACTTTTATTCAAATGTTATAACTAGATCTTCCTCTGAAAAAAGATTGAGTAACTACAGTTTATTTTGTAATCCTTCCCTCCAAACACAGGACTCCCAACTATTTTTCATTATCTAATCATTTCAGAACATTGTCTTACATTTTCTATCTCTGAATATCCTGTTTAACTCAGAAATACATCAGATTAGTTAAAAAGTGCACTTCATTACTTCATGGTAAGGTAGTGTTGTTTTGATTAGAAAACAAAACTGCTTTATTGCATGGCTCCGTCTTAATGTTTCTATATATCTCCTTTAACTGTCAAGATTATTTCTTTTTTTATCCAAGTGTAACGCTGTGGAAACAGTGCTCTATACTTTATAAGTGCCTCTTCACTAACAATTTGAAAACTTAATGGTACACTAATAACAGCATTCAGCACCAGACGATCTGCCTCACACCAGCTTTTAGTCTACAAACTTCAGTCTGCCCCCCTGTCAGGGCTTTTCTATGGCTACACATTTTCCATAATTGTTGGACTGCTACAAGAGTTAAGGGTGAAATAACTGACAACTAGGAAAGGTTTAAAAACACATACTGTTTTGGTATGAAATGAATCAAGAACAACTAAATATTTAGTTTGAACTAATTTCTGAATGGGATACAATCGGTCCTTTTCCTTTGATTTTGAACCCAAATGTTGAACTTATGAAAGTTTTCAATTCCCACGCGGTCAGAAAGACATTATACTTATCACATATTATCACCTGATGTATGAACTGTTGAAAGAGGTATTTAACTATTCAAATCCCCCAGCTCTTTATTCAAATGAAATGACTAATACTGTCATTCAATATTTATAACCCTCAATCTATACATATACTTTAGAACATAAAGAGACCATTTTTCAATAACACCCTCTCAGGCAATACTATACAAAACATCAGCACCAAAGGGCTTGTTTGAATGAGGGATATGCAAATACAGGAATTGCTCATTACGGTATAGGACAGCTAACAGCTGATTTTTACATGCAAAAGTGAATATTTATCATGGAATTGGTGCTAAAAAAAAATAATCAGAATTCCATAAACAACTTGAATGATCTAAAAGAATCCTTATCAAGTCTGCAATTTATCTACAGCATGATTTATCTATTCTATGCTGACTTCAAACAGTTCAAGAGAAATTCTAGAGTATGTGTAAAATGTATATATATATATATATATATATAATAGTGTCCCATCTACATAGCAAGGACAGCACATAACCACAATATACCTTATGCTCTCGTAATATCATACTGTTCTCTCTAAAGCTAAAAATGCAACTGTGCATTAAATGCAAATTAAATAATGTAGGCTGACTTATGAAAGCAAAAGTGTTATTAAATGAAAAATTAAATGAAACAACTAAATTGAAAGATTTTTCTAAAATAGTTTTAAAACAACAACTTGTGGTTAAATATATTCATAATACTGCAAATTAAAATTAACGTTTACGAAACAACATTTTACAGTGCTAATTTCTGACTGTATATAATGATTTCTCAAGAATAAAAGAAGTACCACTGCAGCCAAAACACATTATTAAAGATTTATCTTACCTCTAGACACCCCTTGCTTTACGTAACATAAGGGCTTGTGCTGATGAAATGCTGTGCATCCAGTTGTGATGCTGACTTGCATATAAACTCTTATTTTCATTCCTCCTACTCTCTCTCAGTCTCTCCCACTCTCCTCTCATCTCTGTCTGACGCTGAAGCTTGCTCTCTCTCTCTCTCTCTCTCTCTCTCTCTCTCTCTCTCTCTCTCTCTCTCTCTCTATATATATATATATATATATATATATCTCACACTCTCTCTCTCTCCAAAATATTTTTTAAAGCATGAATGTTGGGTGGGAGGCATTAGTTCTCTTTAGAGCAGTTTTTTTCCTTGTCATAGTATGAATGACATAAGTTTAATTGCAATACAAACTTATGGTACATTATCAAAATGTTCGATAACGATTAAGATAATGGCTGTTGAAATAATGTGAAGAATACCGAATAGTTTTAGTCGGCTGCCTCAACTGATTTACAAATTTAACAAATTTAAAGAAATTAAAAAAGTAGCTATACTGAAAGCTTAATCTTAACTAAAAGTTTGATATGACAACAAATCAGAATAAAAATAACAATAGACAAATAATTTAATTTCATGGACCAGATCTGTACTATTTAAACAGCTACTAATATTTATGCTGCGTTGTTAAACTCATCGCGTTGTTCAGCGCTGAAACGCTTTTATGCTCGTGTGTATAGGCCCTATAGTGTTGTCACGATACTAGAATTTCTAACTTCGATACGATACCTTGAAAAATATCGATATTCGATACCATTTTCGATACCACAGAGAAAAAAACTGCCACAATATTAAGGGGGTATTTTTTTTTTTTATTTAAAGCTAAATATAACAAGTCTAGAACATGACAATGAGGTATATTTTACATGAACAAAAATGTCCTGAGTTCTATTTGTTAATATTTTTTAATTGGACCAGAGCTAACATGATGTATTTTTATTACCTACTGTTATCAAAGATTAAAATATACTGTAACAAAAAAAGCACTTAACAGTATCAAATTGGAGGATAGAGTGTCAGTAATGTATAATAAATGAAGTTCCTAAACGTAAGTTAGGGAGGAGCGAGCCCATCCAATCTTTCAATCAACAAACAGAGTATATAAGCAGCCGCTTACCTCTCCCTAGTATCAGCTGTTCCAGTATGCATTACTGCCGCAAGGAATAATGTCCGACATCCCGGAAATCCAGCTCTTTCCTTCAGACGACGAACTGTCAAGCCTTCCTGGGACACAGCCTGTTACACCCCGCGTGAGATCGAATCTTACGGATCATCTTCATGAGCGTTCTGATCGAGAAATCCAGCGCTCATATAAACCACGTTCCAAAAGGCAACGCTCTCCTCTATCTTCAAGATCGCCAGTTTTAACTGAGCCCATCTTCTCTCCATTCTTCCGCTGCTAATACACCGATTCCACCCATTTCAAAATGTTCAGTCAACAGCCTACGTCAAGTCCTCTCCAGCTCCGGAATCCATTTCTCCTGCAGATCAGCAAAAGCTCAACTCTACGATCTTTTCATCAGTTCTTACAGTTCCAGCATTCCATCAAACACTTAAACATCTTATAAAAGCAAGACTCGCACCTCTTCTACCTCCGTTTCTCTCCCGGTTCGGCGTTCTGAACCCACACAATCCCAACGCGCCGATCCAAAGGCCGCCGGCGCCGCCGCGGCTCACATTTCCTTGTCCGCCGGTATTTCCACCCGGCCAGCAACAGCGGCCGCAAAAAAAAAAAAAAAAAAAAAAAAAAAGTTCCGCTTCTTCTCCAGCTCTCACAAACTTCATGCAGTCAGCCCCACTCCCCAGGCAAGAACCAAACTCACAAACACATTCCTCCGACTTCCCTCTGCTTCTCCAGTTCTCTCTAAACTTCTTTATAATAACCTTTGTGCCAGGTCACCCTCGCACACAGTTACATTTTTCTCACCCTCAAACCAACCTACTCAAAGAGCGGATCCTAGCGCGAGGTTGCCTTCGCTAGCCATCTTCCCTCTTTCCTTCCATTCCAATTCACCTCACCCCTTTTTCCCCTTCTATCTTCCAATTGTCTCCTAATATTCTTTCCAGTTCACATCAGAGCGTGAGGTTGCCTCAGCAAAGGATTTCTACACTTTTCCACACAAAACCTCCCCTTCCTCTCACCTCAGCCCATGCCAGCCATCTTGGACACCAGCAGTGTTCTTCTTCGTCTTTTACTGGCGACTTGCAACCAATTGGAGCAATATTGCCACCTACTGTATCTTATTTACTTTTGCTTAAATCCTTAGGTTTAGTCCAGTTTGTTGTAGATAAGATGATATGATTTTAAGCACCATCTTTCTGGATTTATTTGAGAAGATATTTGTAATGTTCATTTGTTTGATTCCTTCATGTTCCAGTCCATTCCTTAAATCCATTCTTTGATTTGAGTATTTAATACACTCAAACAGCACATGTTCCACAGTTTCCACCAGCAGTGTTGGGGAGTAACGGAATATATGTACCGGCGTTACGTATTCAGAATACAAATTATGAGTACGCCCATCTGTATTCCGTTACAGTTACAATTTAAATAGTTGGTATTTAGAATACAGTTACATTGTTGAAATCTTTGGATTACATTACGATACTTCTGTTTCACGAGTTTAGTGACTCTCTAAATAAATTAAGGCAACTCAGCATTTCCCAGAAGCCCCAACGTGAAAACGAAAAATGCGCAGTTT